TTATTAACTAGAAAAAAAAATTGTTGTAAATGCTCATTCCAAATTGGTAGTGGAAGCTACGTGAGTAGTTTGGAATGGGTACTTAAAATGCAATTATTCTTCTTGTTGGTATATTTTCTAGTTGTGTTTTAACCTTCCCAAAGGCATTTGTTATCTTCCAAATTAACCTCTCAACATTGAGTAAGTATATATGATATCAAAAAAACTTTGTGCGAAAAATATTTTAGGCGCTGTATTTTTAGCATTTTTCTAATGGCATTTGCAAAGCTAGTTTACTATTGCTTTTTTAACATCGAGACTGCATTTGGGACTGATTAATGAACTAACAGGAAAAAAACTAGTGGATTAAAATTTTGAATTTTTACTACTTGGTTGAATTAAACATTCCAGTAATCCCAAGTCAAAGTATCCTCACTTTTTGTTTGTGCCATTTTCCTCTGGTGGTCCCTTTGCTTGTGACATTGCTGACAAGAAATATATGATAGAATTTATTTCGCTATTAATTAGTCAAGATCTTATTGTAGAATATCATGAATCTTAATTTCTTACCAAAAAAACAAAGAAAAGAAAAAGAAGAAAATATCTACACGTCTTATTTGTTATTTAGAATTTATAGGAAATTTCCCGGAGATTGAACAATAACATAGGGACAATATTTTTATACAATGAAAACGTCATAAAAATGAATAGTAGTAGTGCAGTCAATCAACTGTACATCAAGTTTCTCCATTAAAAAGGGATGCTCCCAAAGAGGAAAATCCACCAAAGAAAGATGGGAATAAAGTTATTGGTAATGTTAGTGATGATGGTGCTTTCATTACTAAATGGATGGTATTGTTTAGGGTGTTGGGAGGAAGAGAGGGTTGCTCTTTTGCACCTTAAAGCAAATGTGGACTCTCTCGATGGAAGATCGCTGGCTTCGTGGGTGGTTAATGAGATTAAAACTGACTGTTCTCAATGGCAAAGGGTTGAATGCAGCAACACAACTAAACGAGTAATCAAACTTACTCTTGATGACGCTAGGGATTGGAAATTAGGAGATTGGTATTTTAATGCCTCTCTATTTCTTCCCTTTCAAGAGCTCAGAAATCTCTCTTTGCAATCGAATCAGTTAGTACATTGGTTTGAGAATGAAGGTATGATGTCATCTCCCCTTGATTAGTTAGCTTCAATTTTATTAATCCTATTTTGTTTGAGTGATAAATATAGATTTGTTGAACTTTATTGCAGGTTTTGATAAACTGTCAAAGTTGAGAAATTTGGAGGCCCTTGATCTGTGTTAAAATTCATTCAATCGCAAAATTTTGTCATCTCTTAGTCGGCTTTCTTCTCTCAAGTATTTGAGACTTGGATACAACCATTAGAAAGAGAGAATTACATCCATGCCAGATTCAAGAGGTCATCCATCATTACCCAACTTCCTTTACTATCAATCCAATTTGAGAATTCTTCATCTCCCAAATAACAGCATAGGAGGGGAATTTCCAACTTGGTTGTTGGAGAACAACACAAGACTTAGGGGACTGTACTTGAATGATAATGCTTTTACAGNCCAACTTGGTTGTTAGAGAACAACTCAAGACTTAGGGGACTATATTTAAGGGATAATGCTTTTAGAGGACCTCTCAAGTTGCCAACAAGCATCAATCCCAACATGGAGACTTTTGATGTATCTAATAACATGTTCCATGGACATGTTCCAACTAATATAACTTCAGTTTTTCCGAACATGGTCATGTTAAGAAGATAAATCTGAGGACCTAATT